AGACAAGTGTTGAGGGGCAGTGTTAAAATATCATCACTAGCCCAATAATTGTATGAGCTCATATATATATATATTTTAGAAAAATGATTTAGGTAGGTTAGGAGTAAAGATACTGTCTAAAATGATTCAGCTATTTTAGGAATAAATATACAAAATATTTGTTTTAGAGATATTTTAGGAAAAAGGTTGAGATATTTCAGGAATAAATTGTGTGACCTCCTTTCTAAATACCCTCCACCCTACCTAGGTTTTCATCCCAAAAAATATAAAACCAGAGTATTCTACAAAGTGCGTTGTAATCTCTTTTCAATTTGTGTTAATAAAAAGTGCAAATGTTTTTCACATAGAATTTTGTTCAACAATATTATTTATTAACTCAATGTCGAAAACTCACCTAGGTTGAATTGGACTTAGAGAAGCAGATCTAAGCTAGTTCCGAGGATAATTTGTAACTCGACGTAGTACAAAAAATTAATAACTTCACTAATAGCTTGATTGGATGAATGGTTTGATGCATGAACAACATGTGTGTTGTTCCATGGGGGGATCTATTCGTTTAGCATATCACAGCATGGCCTTAGATAGTTTTTTCGTTTGGGCAAGATTGGATGTGTAGTACTTGTATGCACATAGCCCATGTATGTGAGAATGGACCCATTAGGTGGGCTCAGACAATGTAACGCAAGAACAAAAAAACAAATAAAAAAAAAAGAAAAAAAAAAGTGGGGGGCTAAGTCAATTGAGGGGCAAAAATGTCATTTTGCCCCTCCAGCCATAATAGGGGTCCAAGGAGAACCCCGTCAGATCCCCTGCAAAAGAAAGAAGGAGATAGAGAGAAACTGAAGAGAAGTCAGCCGGGAAGATTAACGGACCACCGCCGGAATCCATCCTTAGACGAGACTCGTACAAGAATTGAGAGGCTAGCAAGGTCGACGCTTTGTCAGGACCCAAGAACATTTCGCGAGGTAAGGTTTCTGAACGACATTTCTCAGATCTGAGTCTTTCCTACGTGAATCAATCCTAAAATGCTGAAATCTTCACCTAGGAACAACTCACGCACGGTCTGTGAAGAAGTTTGGCCGAGACCTCAACCCAAAGGTAGAGATCCGAGAGTCGTCCCAGAACGGTGAGCGAACTTCCGACATTCTTAACTCGTTCAGTAGTCAAGCAAAAAATTATAAAAAAAATGCTAGGACGTAGCCCGTAAAACGATCTAGAACTTTGCCAAAGGAATCATATCGATCCGATCTATGGATCGAAAGATATGAAAATCGGAAAAGGGGTCTGTGTTTCGGTTTTCAGAGGACAGAGAAGAAAGAAGAAAGAAAGAAAGAAAAAAAAAGGGGCGGCCGGCGAGCGGCAGAGGGCGGCGACAGGCGCCGGACACGCGTCGACCATCGGCTAGAGCAACGCAGCTCCAGCAAGGCGTCGACACGTGTCGCCTGCAAGACGAGCCGAACCGCAAATGCGAGCCGACCAGACCGGCCGACCCACAACTACGCGGAAGCAGACGCGCGTGGCAGGCGCACGTGCAGCCTGCGACTGACGCCTTCCCGAACGTGTGACCACACACTACTAGCGCGCTGCTGGTGCGTAAGCTGCGTGGAATGGCCAATTTGGCCTGGTTGTTTTCTGTTTGCCCGATTTTTGTCCCGGTTCCAGTTCTAATACTGTTCTTACGTTTATAGGGACCTAATTTAAAGAAATCAGTATTTTTGGACACCTCACGGGCAAAGAAACGCTAGCAAAAAGGGCATGCGTCAACCAGGTAAGTCACCACCCGATATTTAGAAAGAAATACTTGTAGGATTTGCTTGGATTTCATGCATGTTAGTAGTTTTGCTTCAGGTTAGCTCTCCATGTAAATTATTAGTCAGATTAATTGTTATAATTGTATTGGGTGAATTACATGAGTGTTGCTGTATGCTTTATGCTTCCGCCGTATGTATGCATGCGTTTAATTTATGTTAGAATTGTGTATGCCGTGTTCCGGGTGCTTGATGGACGAATTTTCCCCATTAAGCGTGAACTTCGTGCTCTGGGTGCTTGATGGAGGTCAACACCCCATTGAGCCGGTATGCCTAGTTTGCATGAATTACATACTATGATGTTAGAAGAAGGTTGCATGCACACTCTGTTAATTGCTAGGGCCCATTTCTATGATAGGCTTAAGGGATTACTGTTAGTAGCGATATGTCGCTCTAGCCAGACTTAATTTTCTCTTAGGAACTTAGCGGTTTACCACGACAACAAGGTATCTCGGAGTGTTCATAGATTGCTAGCGTGAGCTTAGGAACTTAGCGGTTTACCACGACAACAAGGTATCTCGGAGTGTTCATAGATTGCTAGCGTGAGAACGGTATCTATAGCTTTGTGGGAGGACCAAGGGTCCCTGATCAATCCTTACTGCTCTTAGCCATTTCGCATGGGAAATGTGTCCCTGGGAGGACCAAGGGTCCCTGATCAATCCTTACTGCTCTTAGCCATTTCGCATGGGAAATGTGTCCCCACGTCGTACAGCCCATTAGCAGCATGGGAACGGGTTGGGTCGCGCCCCCCATAGGGTGAATATATGGGCGTAGGGGTATTCAGCACACCCCTAGGCTAGGTACCATGTAGTCCTAGATAGCCATGTAGAGGTAGTGCCTCATAGAGAGATACCGACCATATAAGCTTGGCGTAAGAAACCTCTAGGCGTTTAATGAATGGACGATGAACTAGTGAAACCCAAGGGGCAAGCCTCAAGGGACTAAGATTAGAACCAGATGTCCTAGAACCGAATTAGAAAACTGTGGGAACCTATTAAATTAGGATGCGAAGAGAGCCTACAAGTAGGTGGCTTACTGAGTATAATTTTTATACTCATCCTTGCTATGTTTTCCTTTTTTTTCAGGAGCGCGAGGCATCGCTCAAGGGCGGGCGTGATGGAGGCGGGGATTGTCACAGAGGAATGGGTTGTCCCGGGGCGTCAGTCCAGTCCTTATTTTGTATTTGCATTCTTTCGAAATTTGTTTTGTTTTGTCTGTTTGTTGTCCAAAAACATTATTGGAATTTAAGGATTTTCTCTACTTCATATTTAAAACACTTCATGCATTCGTGTCTTGTCGCTAGTCATGATCCGTAGTAAAATATTGGGTCGTGACAAATTTAGTATCAGAGCAGCCAGGTTATAGGTCCTGTAGACATTTAGGATAGAGAGTCGTGTCCTCCGTGACTTCGCTCATCAATCACATGTCGCTCACAACCAGACGTTCTCACGCGACGGAAACATAGAGATAAAGGTTAAGCTAGTACTTATAGAGTATACCATGACCAACTATGGCATTATAATCGCACATTCTGTAGGAGATGTGTCAAGAATGAATTGTAACCATAGTTCTTTTTTCTATTGTGGTAGATAATGACACCAAAGAGACGAGAACCATATTTAGGGCCCGAACCCAGAAGGGGAAGAAGAGAGAAAGTTCAGGATACCTCGGTTCCAACACCTGAAGAGGAACAACCTGAATTTCAGGAGGAGGTTGGGGATACGCCCCAAACTAGCGAGGGGACATAACCACAGCCATCAAGAACAAAAAGGCACCAAAGGAAGGCCAAGGCCCGAGGACTGCTTGATACACCCCCTACTGCTCCCTTCTCTGAGGAGGTTCCATCGGGTCCAACCCCGTGTACAGCAGTCCTGCTAAACCAGCCACTAGCCATGCCCTCAGTTGAGATGTTTCAGACGTTCATGATGACGTCGATGGAAAATCAGGCTCTGACGAACCAAATGATTCAAACCATGATGTCTAATCAGTCAATAGGGCAAGGGGGCAAGGATTCAAGGACTATGACTGTGGAGTCCCGCTACTTAAGAGATTTCTAGAGGCATAAACTGCCTTCCTTTGACGGAGGCAAGGTGGATCCCATTGCCGCCGAGAACTGGCTAGAGGCCATAGAAACGGCCTTCCATTTTATGAACTGCCCGCCAAAGTATGAGGTCCATTGTGGGACGTATATGCTGAAAGGAGAGGCGCACTTCTGGAGGAAGGATGCTCAGAAGAACATTGCATCACAAGGAGAGTTTATTACGTGGTGTCAGTTTAAAGATGCGTACCTCCACAAATACTACCCAATCACTGCCAGAGTGAAAATGCAGGCAGCATTCCGCGCACTGAAATAGGGAGACAGATTAGTGGAGGAATATGACTTGGAGTTTAATAGGTTGGCAAGGTCTTCTCCAGCCTATGTTAGTTCTGAGGAGTTGAAGGGCGAGCGATTTATCGCTGGCCTGAGGGAGGAACTAAGGGGGAATGTTCCATCCCAGTCATCCTTCGTCTATACGAAAGCCCTTCAAGTGGTGACCTTGCTCGACTCGCCCCGCACCGACAAGCTGCAGTTGGGAATAGCTCAACCATCCCACACTGCAGCCCAGGGAAGGGTGACAGACCCTAGCCACCCCAGAACTGGTAGACCGCCCTGTGGCCGCACTGATAAACAAAGAAGGGCCCCGATATGGAACAGGACCCTTTGTCCTAACTGTCAGCGTCCTCACACGGGGGAATACAGAGCAGGAACAGGCGCTTGTTATAGATGCGGCCAGGTAGGGAACTTTGCAGTAGATTGTCCTCAGAGGAATGATCAGCGTGTCAACTGACCTGCAGTACAGCATCAGAGGGGCCAAGCTGTCAATAATAGCTGGGGTGAGCTGTAGCCCATGCAACAACAGCCAGACAAGTTGACCAGCCTGACGCAGTTGTTACAGGTACGCTACCCGTATTTGGTCATCTTGCTTTAGTATTGTTTGATTTGGGTTCGACACATTCATTCGTATCTGAAGAGTTTGTAGAGCTAGCACATCTAGAGAAAGAACTATTAGAAATTACCTTATCAGTGTCCACCCCTGCTCACGAGCTGTTGTTAGCTGCCCATAGGGTTAAGGGAGGTGGTGTAACAATATCAGGACGTGTCATCGAAGCTACACTGATAGTGTTAAACATGCAAGACTTCGATGTCATCTTGGGTATGGATTGGCTAGGTGAGAATCGCGTTTTGATAGATTGCGAGACTCGAGTAGTAACTCTTAGGCTCCCGTTAGAGGACAACTTTACCTACAAAGGAGCCACTTCCAAGGGTGTCCCAAGCGTCATAACATCGTTAAGGGCTAGGAAGCTGATTCGTAGTGGCGCAAGTGCATTCCTAG